ACTTTAACCAATTCAATTTCACCCTGCGATATCTCCCAGGGGGAAGAACTTCCTAACAGATGCCCTATCCAGACTACCACAATATTACAGTTCAAAGCCAGTGGTAGTTAGACTGGTTATTCCCTCCCAGCAACTAGCAGCTCTGGTCACCCCAGAGTGCAAGCTAAACTAAAATCCACAGTTAGCTGCCTTAACTGTGCCTCTACAAAAAGGTGGCAAGGGAAGGGCTCCTCAAGCTAGTGGCTGACCCCAAAGCCCTTTGGAAAGAGATTTCAATAGACTTTATAGTAGAGTTACTCAAGAGTTCAGGAATCACCATGATTTGGGTGTTTCATATAGCATGGAGCCCCAGAGAGAATAATCTCAGACCGCAGCATCCAGTTCACTTCATGGTTTTGGCAAGAGTTCTTAAAACTTTTGGGGACCAGTCAGGGGCTTAGCTCCTCCCATCATGTGGAACTAATGGAGGCTGTGAATGTGCAAATGGGATCTTGGAGCAATATCTCAGGTTTTACATTAATTATCAATAGCACAGTTAGGCGGACCTCCTTCCTTTCGCTGAGGTTGCTAACAACAACTCAGTACACACTAGCACTGGATTCATCTCCTTTTAAGTGGCCACAAGGTAGGACTTTGTGTCTATGTCTGAGTTGCCCCAGGCCACCCCACTGACCGCCTCCTTAAAGGAGTAGATCACCCCACTGCAAAATACCTGGCCGATAGTAAGGAAAGCCCTGGAGAAGCAAGGGAAGCTGACAAGAGATGTGTGAAACCCAAAAAACTTTAAAGTTGGGAACAGGATCTATTTATCTACCAAGTACCTACAGTCTAGACAACTTTCCAAAAAAACCTGGGCCTGAAATATATTGGCCCTTTCCCCATTAAAAGAATTATTAACCTGGTCACTGTTGAGCTCAAGCTTCCAAAAACCCTTAGATGGGTCCATCTGGTATTCCACTACAGCCTATTGAAACTGGAAATCACCTTCTCACTACGGCCAGCAATGAAACTATCTCCTGACCCAATTATGATTGAGGAGGAACAGCACTTTGAAATCAAAGCCATTTTGGACTCTCGTACATACCAAGGAAAAACTCAATATCTAGTAGCGTGGAAAGACTATCCACCTTCCAAAACCAAATGGGTGGACTCAAAACATATCAAAGCTTCTAAATTTCTTAAGAGATTCTACAAGCAATATCCAGAGTAACCTTGTTGAATAATGACTAAATAGGTTTATATTTCTCTCTCGCTCTCTCCCCTTCCCCTCTCTTTTTTGTTTCCTCTGCAGGACTAACATCTTTGTCAAGAGGGGCAGTATGCCATCTTCAGCTCAAGCCTCATCGGTATCCTTCCATTAATAGCTAAGGTGGGGGGGGGAGCGAGGGAACAAATCAGCAATAAACATGTATTGGGATAGCACTGGGAAATAGGAAGGGGGGAATGACAGTTGAGGAAGATCAGGGATGCTTTGAACCAGTTTGTGCCAGTCTTCAAGGACACAAAGATGCCAGTGATACTTGGGAATTGAATGCCAATTGCTCCAAACACTGAAGGTTACCAAAACACATGGACATCCACCTATTGGCTGGAAATGGACTGGTCAAGGGGGGAGAGACAGATTGAGGGGGAAAGCCCCTTTTTTGCATGAGAAATTTAGTTCTAGCCTGACTTTACTGCAAGCAGCACCCTTTAATAAAAGAGCCTATCACTTCAAACCCAACGGAGTCGAGGGTCTTTCTTTCTTAAGGGGCAATCAGGCTGGGGCAGGCCTGACATTTGTATGTTTGCAATGGTGGTGAATATTTGTAGCTCGGGTGTAAAATGAGGTGAAGTTTTGTTCTCCAAGCTTGTGGATTGGTTTCCAGGCTAGGTAACATCTTCAGCGGAATTTAGGGGATGTCAGTGCAACCTATTTTATGTGGGACAAACATCATATCAGTTAAAAACCAGGATCCATGAACACTGGCTGGCAGTCAAATGCCACAATCCCAAATCCTTAATCTCTATATACACCCGCACCAAATAATACCAATTCGATTGGAGCAACACAAAAATCATCAGCCACACTATCACCTGCCACTCTCGTGAGTTCATAGAAGCCTGGTACTTCACAAGTTGTTCATATTTTCAACATACATTTGAATTGCCTTTATGCATTTTATATTATTTCTCTGGCATCATATACCAATGATACATAATTTTATTAAAAAATCTTTTTAAGATCACGAAATAATGTAAATGTTAACCCTTTTAACGACATATTTTTTCACTGATCCATCTGTACATTTTAAATTCTTAGCCTATACATTCTTTAACTTGTTCTTCTGGTTTCAAATTCAAAGTTTGTATGTTTTAGTAGTTACATGTTCATCATTGTGTGGAATAATTGAATCTTTAGAACATATTATACTCTATTGTCCGCTCTATGCAGGAGCATGCCAGGTGCTACCATGCTAGGGCTTATTTTCTGCTTGGGTCTTATTTTCAGGAAAACAGGGTATTACTTCCACTTTTTATTAAATATCCTGATCATTCCGAATTATGTTACCTTAAAATGCTATTATTAGATCAATCTAATTCTCTGTCCACAATTCTCTGTACTGCTCAGTAATTTGCTCTTTACACAGTAGGACTGATTCTAACTCTCAGATATTTTAGACTATATATAGAGAGAGAATGTCTTGAGTGTTTTTTGATGCAGCCTGTCAGCCCAAATATGGGAAGAAGAAATCTTTTTTTTAGAGAGTGAGAATCAAATAAAAATTTGAAGGGTGAAGAAGAATGAAAGAATGTTCATCATCAATGTCCAATTGTATTTCAAGTTCTGTCTTACTTTACTCCATTCCTTTTTATGCATTTTGAAACTTTCTGATAACTGTAAATGAGAAAAGCATTGACAACTATATCCTTATGCTATTAATTGGTTTGATTTTAAATTCCCCTATGGTTTTCCAATATTTCACCGTATGTCAATTATTTGCATTTATTGGCTATTTCTCTTCCATAAATTTGTTTTCAGCCACAACTTTGGTTTATATCTAGTCCATATTCTCAATATGGCATATCTAATACAATTATTTTTAAAGTGCACATCAATTTTAATTTTATCATACCATAAATATCTATGGCATCCAAACCTCAGGTCAGGATCTTCTAACTGTAAACATCTCTTGTTTCCCAACAACATCCATTCTTTCATCCAGATCAAATTACAAGTGGTGAAATACAGTTTCAAATCCAGTAAACCCAGTCATCCTGTTTTATATACATCCTGTAACACTTTATATTTATCTCTTACTTTTTCCCTTGCCATATAAGTTTAGATATTGTATATCTTTTTGCCATTAAATGATATACATTATTAGTTTAAATGATTAACGATAAATTAGTTTTCAAGAGAGATAATTTCTGAAAGAAAAACATTCTTAGCAAAATATTCATTTTTATCACAGAGATTCTTCCCAATGACGACAATTTTAATTTTTCCTAACCTAACATGTCCTTTTTCATTTCAACCTATGTCTTAACATAATTATTTTGAAATACTGTATAATTCATATTTGTCATAGTAATATCCAGATATTTTACTGTTTTCTAAATCTTAAAATCAGTTTTCTCCATCAATTCTATTTATTCCAATTTCATATTTTTCTTAATATTTTTATCTTCTGATTATTAAAACCTCAATATTAAAGTTATTTAATTTAAATAAAGCCCATTAATGTTTCTATAGTAGATCTTAGTAGATCTTCCAAAACCAAACCATCTAACTAATTCCTTTACATCATAAATTCTTTCCTAATCTAAACTTCCATAATTGGTGGTCGTGTAAAAAAAGCTTTAAAAATTTGAACTCAAATAATTATTTTGCTACAAAGGATTTTAAAGATTAATATTCAACTTAAGCTAGAACTTTTCCTTTTAGGACTGATGTTAACTATTGATAACAGAAAAAAGCCTTGAAAGATTATTTCAGTATATGATTACTGCAACAAAAATACTACAGTATATGCATAGAGATAGAGAGATTCAACACTACCCACTATGAAGAAATAGTCAATGAAATTGACACATCTTGTGAGTTGTATAAATTAAATTCTTTAATTAGAGAAAAGGCACTATCTACATTTATTGGCAACTAGAAACCTCTTGTCAGTTTTTTGCATTAAAAATGAAAAAGCTGAGCCTGTTTTTGGCTTTGATAATTGGACAGAAAATATAGAAAGAAGGGCATCATGGCATCATGTTTAAAATATAGCTATTATTACTGTGAAGAATACTGTAAGGCACTTCTTTGTATCTTTTTCTCTTTTTCTTTAATTTTATTTTTTTGCATTTTTCTTTCTGTTTGACATCTTTCTTTTTCATTTTTCTTCCTTTATGTTAGTTTGTATTAGTTTTTGTCTTTCTTTATAGACATTTTAATAAAACATTTTCAGGACCCACCAAATTCTTTTCTCCCCCCCCCCCCCCCCCCCCCCCCCCCCCCCCCCCGCTATTGTCAAAACTCCTGGAGCATAATACTTATCTCAACTGACTCAATTTTGTCTCATCTGAACTACTTTTGATTCCATCTAGTTTGGCCTTCTTCCATGTCCTGTCTGTTGAAATATGCCTGATGAAAATATGCAATGATATATCTTTACTCAGCTATCTTTCTTATTAGCCATTTTTACATATATTATTCAAACCATTTGAATCCTTCCTCAAAAACTATGACTTGTTTTCCTTTTTCTCTTCACTATTTCTATACTTTTATATACTAACACATCTTTTTCTATGATCAGCATAGCTATCCTCTATTGAGCAGAAACCTGACACTTCCATAAATTAAGATGCATTTGCTGCTTACTTGGCCCAAATCAAGTAGCACAAAGGTGGCTATGGTATATATGGTAATATAAAGCACTGGATTCTTGCCTTTCCAGTCTCCCATTTTATGGTCCATAAGAGGAGTCTAGTTTTAGACTTGACAAATGGTAAAAGAGTTTACAAACCCATTTTTCTTTTGTGATCTTCACCAAGTAGCTCTACTGAATGACTTTTGTTCTTGATAGTCACTTTGCTTGATAATACAGGGCTTCTCTTGCTTTTTCCTAGTTGATTTTGTGATATGTTGCCAGATGGATGCCTTTTAACAGGTGGAACAAAGCACTGTGAAGTATGAACTCCCAAAAGATTTCTTTCCGTCTCTGGAAAATTCTGTTGCTGCATATGGATCTTAGTAGTTTTGCAATTCTGCATTTCTTTCTGCTGTTCTGAGGCTTTTCTTTTATTTTCTTCTTCTCTTTTCCTACAGTCAATATTTATAATATTTAAGAGTTAATGGATTATAAGAGTTATTTTGAATTTCTCACTGAAAAGTTCTTAAAATGTTAGAAATTGTTTTAAAAGATCAAAACCACATATTACTTGTACTCTTTTTCTGCTAATCACAGATTATTCACGTAAAACAACCTAAGGACCTAATCCAATCAAATTAAGAATCCTTACATATCTCACTGATGTCATTGGATATTTAACTACATATTTAAAATAAAATATTTGGCATATTGATTTAGATTGAGAAAATTCTGTACATTATCATAAACTAAGAACTTAGATCTTAGTTTAAAAAATCTGCTTCTCATATAAAATCCCTAGGTTTTTAAATAAATAATTAAAACATTAATTAAGTTTAAATATATTAAAACATAGTACATAGAAAATAAAATAAGCAATAGAATAAATAATGAAGCAGCAATAAAAAGCTTAAAAATATCATAACAGCAGATCAAGTAATCAGTTCCAGATGAAGAAAAGGTAATCCAAGTGCAAAGATCACACCTATAACAGGCATTGAATCTTGCTGGTCATATATAAAGCAGTTTTTCTAATTAATGTTTTGGTTACAACCTAAATTGGGTCAATGCAACACATACTATGTAGGTTTGCCTTTGAAATTTATTCAGGAACAAAAATTAATGAAAATAGGGCACATCATCATATATTTACTATACACCATGCAAAGTGAAGATATGGTTCACTGCAGTAATGAAAGTATTGGTTTAAGTCATTTCTTGATTACAGACCTCACTGTACCTTACTTTACAGCAGTGGAAGCCGCGCCCACCCCATTGCCGGCAATGGCAAAACCGGGCTAATATGTTACACGACGTCACGTGACGTCACGAGTTTGACATTTATTCCTAGAGATTAAAATTAAGGTAAAACTCTACATAAACTGTACCCAGAGGAAAAAGGATATAAATACAATAAATACATTTTGCTTTTTTTCTCTTTAGTAAAATATAAATTACTATATATATATATTCCTGTTTGAGGACTAAGAATATTTGAAAGATTATCTCTTCCAATAAGGAATAGCAGCCTATGTATAGCATTCACAACAAAAGCCCAATTCTTTGTGGAAACATGAGGCAACCATAGTTCACTTGCAGCACCTTGATTCTGAAGACAAGATTGTTTAGTTCCCTTCCATCCTTTAAAGAGACATTTTTAATTCACCCCACAATAATATGACAGCCTTCTCCATGCAGTCAATTTGTTGCAAGCAGAAATCCAATACAAGCCCAAATACAAAATATTATTTTTTTAAAAAAATGGAAGTAAACAAATAAAACCTGCAAAGACAAAACAATATGTTACATAATAGTCATTGGTAAATGTCAGATCAGAATATTCTCTGCTATTTTAAACTTTAAGTATTGTAACATGATTTGTGACTGTTGACACACAACAGACTATATAGCATGCCTTCATTGATTCCTCTGTTTCAGAAACAATCCTGAAATGTGCTGTTTCAATGAGATGTGATAGGAAAAAGCCCTAATTTTAACTGCAATGCTGATGCGGCTCTCAGTGAAATTGAGTTTGACACCCCTGCCTTACACTATGTTTCTAAACTGCTTGGCAACAATTGGGTGTAGACCATAAATCTTTGTTTTAATCAAAAACCATGTGGTTTATTTTCACCTGAGAGCCGCATCAGCATTGCAGTTGCCCTTGGGGGGCTGGGTGGGTGTGGGCCACTGTGGGCATGGCCTACTGGGTGGGCATGGATGGAGTGGGTGTGCCCAGCTCTACATCGTTCGCATCAAGGGTGCCTGTGGGGGCCTGGGCAGCAGTGGGACAGATCTGAGGGTCTCTGGCAGAAGGGGATGGGGCCAGGGCAAATGCCAAGGCATGGTCCACTGGAGGAGCCTCACTGTTCCTCTCAGGCCATGCGGGGGGGGGGCTGGATGGTGGCACGGGCTGCCCGGAGCCTTGGGCAGCAGAGGTCAAATGCCCAGCCTGGCCCTCGAGCACCCGCGGCACCAAGCCCAGCCCCACTTCCCCAAGGAGGCGCCCAGCTGCACTTACCTCCTCCTCAAGGCTGCTGCTGCTGTGCTTGCTCTCCTTACCCAGGTTGCTCATGATGGGTACAAGGACAAAGTACAAGGGAGGCCCATTCCCTCTCCATGGGAGGAGACCCAGCTTTGTATCCAAAGCTTCCTTAGCAATAGGATGGGAGACCCCCCAGGATAGGCCAGGAGGAGGGGGCAAGGGGATGGTGAAAAGGCAGCAGGGCAGGACTAAGGCAGGACTTCCCTCAGACCCTCCCTCTCCTTCTTTCCTTCTTTCCTTTCTTCCTTCCTAAGTACAGAGTGGTGGGAAAATATTTGAGATGAGGGAGGGAGAAAAACAGGCAAGAAATGCAGCTGGGGAGGTGTCACCCTTCGTGAGGAATGAAGAAATGCACCATCGCCTGGAAGTGGCCAGCACATGGCCCTCACCTACTTCACATATCTGGCTTGGTGGGCTCTGGGGGAGGAGATGCCATGAGCAGCGTGAGAGTCAATATTACCTGCGCAATGCTGCCCAGCCCCCAGCCTGCCCGGTTTCGGCAGGCAGTGGGGCGCTCTCCTCACAGCGCCGAGAGGTTGAGCCGGGCAGTGCGAAGCTCGCCAGCTTTGCACCTTGCTGCCTGCTGAAACTGGGCAGGCTGGGGGCTAGGCAGCATTGCACTTCTCATCAGATTCGTGCCACCCGGCTCAGCTCTTGGCGCTGTGAGGAGAACGCCCCGCTGCCTGCTGAAACCAGGTAGGCTGGAAGCTGGGCGGCCTCACATTTCTTTTTCGATTTGCACTGCCCGGCTCAGCCTCTCAGCACTGTGAAGAAAGCGCCCTGCTGCCTGCCGAAACCCCTCCCCCAGAGCCCATCAAGCCGGATATGTGAAGTAGGCGAGGGCCATTTATTGGCCACTTCCAGGCGATGGTGCATTTTTTTCATTCCTCACAAAGAATGACACCTCCCCAGCATGCACCCAGGGGGTGCAGCCAATGCGGCAGGGGCTGGTTCCTTGCTGTTTCCAGACAGCCTTGTGGAGCTAAGACTGAATGCATTTCAGCATAGATGGCCACCACAAAATTGTACATTGGCTCCCGGCCGGCTTGGGCCAGGGCCACGGCAGTGGGGGCCATTTCCTCACTGTTTCAAGAATGGCTTCGTGGGCCACATGAAACCACTTCGCAGGCCGCATCTGGCCCCCGGGCCTTGTGTTTGACATGTCTGGTGTAAGGAGATGAAAATGAAAAATGGCTAGCATCTGGCAAAACCTATCTGACAATGAAAGATTCAGCAAAAGGGGCAGCACCAGGTAACTACAAGTCAATTATCAGCTTATCAACAACTTTAAAATTATTAACTGATGTGGTAGTTGATGCAGTCCAATAGCATCTAGCTGAATATAAGCTCTTTCCACCCAAGCAGAAAGTAAACTGCTCAAAGAGCAGAGGGACAAAATATCATTTCCTAATTGATAAGAAGATTCTGGAAAACCGCAAGAGAAGGAAGATTAGCTTGAATGTAGCATGTATTGATTACAAGAAGTCATTCAACTTCCTGCCACATGACTGATAATCTAGTGTCTAGAAATAATAGGAGTCAATAGAAAAATCAGAAGCTTTGTGCATATTTGATGACACAATGGATGAGACAGATGCTGGTCAATGACAATAGAATCGGAGAGATTAATATCAAGAGGAATCTTCCAAGGAGAATCACTATCATATTTGTCATTGCACTGATTCCTCTGTCAACAATACTGAATACCTTAGGCCAGTGGTGGCGAATCTATGGCACGTGTGCCAGAGGCGGCACTCAGAGCCCTCTTTGTGGGCACGTGTGCCATGCCCGAGATGGCAACCGTCCCTCTTCAGCCAGCTGCCCACTAACTCACCGAGGTCCTACATGGCCGGATGTATCCCAGCACGGCTGGTTTCCCTCCCCCCTGTCCCATACCTCCTGGCTTCACATGCTCTCCTTTTCCTGGCCGCGACCCACTGCATTGCCTCCTCAGCTTTTGGCCGTCCGTCCAGTTCAGAGGCGGCTTCTCTGAACTGCTGGTGGCGGGCTGCGGAGCCCCAGAATGTGCCGGTCGAGGGGCTGGCAGGCTGGGGCTGCTAACGGACACTGTCGGCCCCCATGCGCTAGCTGGCCTCTGTGTGTGGGGGCTAATGGTGTCAGGCAGCAGCCACCCTGGCCCTTGCCCCGCCTTGCCCTGTGACAATGGCACCCCCACCCTGCCTCGCTTTGCCTCATCTCACCCCGCAGGACGAGCCTCCTGCCCCACCTGCCAGATCCAACGCTGCCCAGCCCCCATAGGTGTCCCTCCCCACAAGTAACTTCAAGGTGACCACGCCTACCTTGGCTACACCCACCCAGTCTGCCATGACCACCACAGCCACGCCCACCCAGTAGGCCACGCCCACCTGGCACCTGGCGATACATAAGTGGGTTTTGGGTTGCAGTCTGGGCACTCAGTCTCTAAAAGGTTCGCCACCACTGCCTTAGGCCCTGGCTATCAAACATCCAAAACATCTGCCTAGTTATCCCACCTCCTTTACATGGACAATTTGAAAAACATCATCTGAAATAAAATTGCTGTTCAACACTGCCTGTATATACAACCAAGATATTGCAATGGAGTTTGGATTGGACAAATGTGCCACACTCAATATCAAACAAAGAAAAATAGTGAAAACTGAAGGAATCACGATGCCAATGGAAACAACAACATGCCTCCCTCCAGAGCTGTCTTTCCCCCCCCCCCCCATCTATGTCAAGCCCACAGGGCTTGACAGGCAGACGGGTGTCCCACAAACCAAAGAAGTTGAACCAATCAATTCAAACTTCGCAAGGTTTTTTTCGTGAGAAGTTTGAATTCATTGGTTCAACTTTTTTAGTCCCACTTTTTTGGGGGGGGGCACTGCACATGACTGGGAGCTGCAGGAGGCAGCTGAAAAAGCTGCA